GTCTTCTCACTAGTGGAGGTAATGATATTAACATATAAGTAAGAATACATTAAACACATATATATAAATACTATATATATTATTATATTCTGTTTTATTTATTATTTTTATGATATATGCAATATATTGTATGTATATATATTCTCAATTATACTCGTACTGGATTGATGGTCAAATATTATATAAAAGATTAGATCAAATATCAAACAAGAAAAATTTTTTTAAAGAAATTAAATTTTATTTTTAATTATTAATTTTAAATGATATTTATAATAAGTAGGTAAAATTACATACATGTTTGTATCTTATATAAATAACATTTAAGAAATAAAAACATATAAGGATTTATTAACATGTTTTTAACACATAACTTTTATTTGCAAATATTTAAACGCACATTAAGAAAAAAATTTTAAAAATAAAATTAATAGTTATTAACAATCAATTTAATTTAAAATAAAATTAAAACTATAAATGCTTTTATTTTAATGTTTAATTTAATTTTTCTTTTCTCTTCTAATTATATTTTGTATTGTTCATGTTTTAGGAAGCAAGTGGCATTCACGGCGAAAGATATTAACTCCCACATTTCATTTTAATATATTGCAGCAGTTTGTTGAGATTTTGATTGAAGAGAGCGAAAGAATGACAAAGTCCTTAAAGCATACAGAAGGCACAGTTGTAAAAGATTTAACATCGTTTGTTAGTGAACATACGCTGAATGCAATATGTGGTATTGTATTGTATAGCTACATAGAATTTTATTTCTATCAACGAATAATAGAAAATAAAATGCAATTTTTTAATTAAAATTTCGATATAACATATTATATTGCTTAATATGTAATTTTTACATTCAATCATATAGATATTCTTAGAATATATATGTATCATAATTATCGTGAGACTTTCACAAATGTATTTGTAGAAACTGCAATGGGCACTTCTTTAAGAAATCTAAATGCATTCCAACAACCTTATCGAGATGCGGTTTACCGGGTGGGCGAGCTTTTTTCTTATAGGTAATTTATTAGTATAAGTAATATACATATACAGGGTGTCCCATAATAACCGCACCGGACCTCGTGAGCAGGTAAACCAGATAAAACTAAACAGAAAAGTCCTCTACCATTTTGCAAAATTTTCAATCATTAACGAAATATTAATTTTTGAAGATCGGCGAATAAACGCGTATCCATCCGCCTACCGCTGAATGCAAGCGCGCGGCGAGATACGACCGCCCCACCGCTGGTAGTTGCTAGCCGGTAGTTGAAGAGCGGTGGGACAGTCGTATCTCGCCGTGCGCCTGCATTCAACGGTATGGCGGACGGATACGCGTTTATTCGCCGATCTTCAAAAATTAATATCTGTTTAACGATTGCAAATTTTGGAAAATGGTACAGGACTTTTCTGTTTAATTTCATCTGCTCTACCTGCCCACGAAGTCTGGTGCGGTTATTATGGGACACCCTGTATATGTCGCAGGCTTTTTGTATAATCAGCCTTTTTGGATAACGCCAAGAAATATATGGTTTGGGTTAAGTCATATATTGCAAACATTCATTGCAAACCCATGTGGATCACTGTCTATGCGTTGTAAAGTACATGTGTGGAGGCAGTATGTTGAGCCCCTTCTACGGGGGGGCTCCATTTTGTTTTAAACTAACCTAATCCAAACCATTTTCGAAGGCGTTATGCAAAAAGGCGTCT